ACTTGTTCGCCCAGCTCTTCCTCTGGTCGCTCGGCCAGTCCAACCCGCAGCGGGACCGGAAGCACCTACTCGACGTTCTGGCTTACCACCGGAGCGAGGCCAAGGGCGGCTCGTCGCCGCTCACCCAGCGCATGATCCACCGCCTGCTCATCGCTCCTTTCGCCGACGACGACGACATCACGAGCCTCTCACGAGTGCGGGTGAATGCACCTTGATTGATTTATATTCCCACTTTTCTTTGTCCGCTCAAAGAGGGAAAATCAAATAAAATTAATCAGCACCACTAACAATCTCGAGATGGCGGAAGAAGCGGCAGCGGACGATCTTATGTTTTACTTCAGCGAGACCTGCCCGTTCACTCAGCGCGTTCTGCCCGAAGTCGAATGCCTCCAGCAGTGCGCCCCCAATGTTCTCTTTATATTTTGATATTAATTTAATTTATATTTTGATATGCGTATTTATTTTGCATTATTACTGGCGGCAGGGCCATGCCGGAGGGCCGTAGCCTGCAGCGACTGGAGATACGGTCGGACAAGACCAACTACGGGCGGTACCAGGAGGCAGCGCAGGGGAAGTGCAGAGGCGTACCCTTCTTCATCAACAGCAAGACAGGCAACTTCGTATGCGGCGCGGCGCCATGTGCCACCCTCAAGGAGCGATTGTTGTGAGGCACTGGCAGAAGCTGCTGAACGCCAGCACCAAGGTATTCGCCTCCCTGGTCACTGTGCAGCTGTTGACGGCAGCGAGGTAATCTTGAAGTACGCTCTTGACCTTGGACTTCTTGCTGCACAACAATCACACATCTCATTGCACCACCGTTTATCATGGTGGACTGCACTACGCGTCGCCCACCGACCTCGCACGCGGGTACCACCACTGGTGGTGCGGCTCGCCATAGCACCTCAAGTGCTTGTCGTGTGTGGGTCTTGCGCAAAATCCTGTTCCTTTTGCCTTGAGGTTAGTGGCGCAACGCTGGTGTACGGGGCGAGAAAGTCGCCCCATAAAGGCAGCGTTGTTGCCAAGGGTTGCTAGGGCAAGCGGGGCGAAATCGTGTGGAGCGAGGGGTGCGAAAACAGAAGACCAAAGAGGGCTGTTGGTGGTCTTGTGAATGCCAAAGGATAGATGATGTTGAGGAAGACGAGGGACAAGGAGGCGGCCCAGGCGGCTCCCCCTTCCGCCAACTTCCTTCATGAGGCGGTGAGGGCCAACAGGCGCAGCGTTGTGGCCGACCTGCTCTCGAAGGAGGCAACAAGGGCGCACATCAATTCTTTCGATAATTTCGGCTGCACGCCCCTTCACATCGCTGCCAGTGGTGGCAGCAAGGAGCTGGTGGAGCTCCTCCTCCAGTATGGCGCCAACCCCTCCATCGCCGATAAGAGCTGCTGGACGCCCCTTCACAGGTGCGCCCCTAAACCCAAAACAACAATAATAAATCACAAATTTATGTATCGATTCAATTTCAATCAAATGGATAGAGCAGGCCCACTCCATAATTTGTTGATTATTTGATTATTGTTGCAAATTGACAAAAGCTGGGCGCAACAGTGTACTCACCTTGAAGTCCCCTTTCGCCACAGTGCTGCGAATGCCGGCGATTATGAGGCCTGCAAGATCCTGCTGAAGGCGGGTGCTGATGCCATGGCCCTCACGGACGCGGGCACCTCGGCTCTGCACTACCTTGTGCGGCACTCGACCGACGAGGTGGAGCTGTTCACCGAGGTCCTCACGCTGCTTCTCAACAAGGGCGCCGACATCGACTCGCAGAACAAGCATGGGGAATCGCCCCTCATCCAAGCCAGCTTCCGTGGCAAGAAGCAGAGCGTCGACTTCCTTCTCGAACATCACGCCGAAGTCAACGTTACCACCAAGTACGCCCACGCCCCTCGTTGCAGGCCGTTTGTTTGGCTTATTTATATATTTCCTGTCGTCATGTGGTGTGCAGGACGGGGGAGACAAGCCTGCACTTTGCAGCGCGCATTGGCCGAGAGGACATCGTGAGCGCGCTGCTGGCGGCCGGCGCCGACCCGAACATTCGCGGCGACTATGGCACGTGTAAGGACGTCGCTATTGCTGCCGGTCACAACCACCTGATCGCCATCATAGACAGTACGTCCTGGACCTGCACTCAGACGTTTTGTATTGCGCCACCGCGCAGCCAGCCGCACTCATGGCAACATGGGACCTAACTATGTTGCATTTTTTTGCCGTGTTCTTCTCTGCTGCAGGCCATCTGGAGAAGCCGTCCAAGAAGAAATCCCTCCTGCCAGAGGACCCACCATTCATTCCCTCTAACAAATCGCTCCTCATTGGACCACGAGGCATTCTGCCGCGTCAGGTACTGCTCACCATCCATCACCTTTTGTTCCAACCTCACCTTTGACGTCGCGTCCCTTATTCTTTTCTTCTTCCTCTTCCTTCTCCACAGCGACGTCTGCGCCATATCAACTTCATTTATGGACGCAGCCTCTCTGAAGCGGATCCCAACGGTCTCATGGATGTATATTTGACTCTCCATGAGAAAGGTGAGTGCACTTCTTTCTCCAGTTCTCTCTTCTCGCCGGTTCCGTTGTGTAGCCGTTGCTGACAACCGGCGTCGCTCTCGCAGAGGACAGCAAGCCGTTCTACACATCGGAGGTCGTGACGGATTCATTGGTACACCTGCTCGCGACTTGAACAGGACCAGTGCTGGCTTCTGGGCAGCGTTTCACTCCCTCTGACCACTCTGACTTCTACTGGCTCCCATCTCCTGCAGAACCCCATGTGGCGAGGGCTCGACACATCAGAGTTTGAGGAGATGGAATCGTCGCCGGGGGAATGTGTAATATTTGTGGTGCGGGTGTGGAACTGTAGAGTCAAGGACAAGCACAAGCTCATCTTCCAGTCCATCATGGACCTCAACCGCCTCGGCTATGTTGGCACAAACGTACGCCACTCGCCTTCCTGTGTGTATGTGAACAGTCCAGTATTGGACTGACAATGTGTCATTGGTGCCGCAGGTGGAAGAGCTGGGTTTGTTCCCGACCAATTCGCTAGTATTTGAGATGGGTGACGGCCTGTACTTACGAGAGGAGACTGTCGCTGTGATGGTACATTTGTCGTGATGTGCACACACCCCTAGGCACCCGTACCGCAGCTATCTGACTTACGTGTTATTATTCTTTTTATTTTAACAGCGAACGGCAAATCAGCTGGCACTGCTCGACGCACACCCTTCTCTCGACAATCGCAAAACAGGACGAACGGCAGCCTACAGCGAATTCATCCAGTATGTCTTCCTTCCTGAGACCCTTCCCGTTCCAACCCTCAGTTGCACAATGTACCGCTGCTCACCATGTGTGTGGCCCTGAAGGGTGCTGCGGATCAAGCGAGAGCTCGAATTCCAGATCCAGCAGGCCGCCAGCCACACCAAGGTGATCGAGCAGCGGCGAATACAGCACACGGAATACCTGGAACTTGTACGTTTTCGCCTCTTTGCTGGGCCGTACGACGTTGCGTGTTGGCTAAGTGGTTGGTTTCGTTTCGTGTTCGTGGGTGTTCCACCTGCGCAGGCACAGAAAAGAGACATCTTGCGGAGTCGTGTGGGCCACTTGCGAAGAGAAGTCGAAGCGCGGCAGCAGAAGCAACAGAGGGAAATCGAAGACGTCCGGGAATCGCGAAAGCTGCTCATCCCACGGGCACGCATGCTGTCCAAGGCGCAGATCGCTTTCCTCGCATGCAAGCAGAAGCTTAACGAAGAGCTTAGCGCTCTGGATGTGGACAGGTAATGCTTCTTTCCTCAACTCCATTTCGTGCTCTTTCTCTCTCTCTCTCTCTTGTTTCGAGTGCGGCTGAGCTAACAGATGGCTTCCCCCCCCCAGACAATTGCTGTCGGCCCTCCGAGCAGCTCTCGACAAGCGGAGATGGCGCCTCATATCGGAGATCGTGGAAATTTATCCCATCCAACCTGTTTCAAGTACGAGCACACATGTGTGACGGCCTTTCTCTTCTCAAGCCGGCCCTCTCACTGCGCTTCTTTCACTTCTTGTGCTTGTAGGTGCAGCGGGCGAGCGGTGCTTGAGCGTGAACCTTGCCAAGCTGCCCAACGCGGACTCTTTCTTCGGGTACGAGGAAGAGGAGATAGCCACAGCGCTCGGCTCCGTTTGCCACGTCCTCTTCCTCGTCTCCAAGTATCTTGACGTACGACAGCCCCCCACCACCACCACAAATCCCTTTACAGCCCTGCGTTTCCCTTCAATCCAACCGGGAGTATTCACGTGCGGACTATACCCGTCTGTTGGCTTTGTGCAGGTGCCGCTGCGTTATCCCATCCTCCCCATGTGCTCACGATCTGCCATCTGGGACGAGATCTCCATCAATGGAATCTTCACGTACGCAGAAGCACACATCGTGCCGTGTTTGTCGTTTATCAGTTTGTGTGGTCTCACCCTCCATGATCCTCCATCTTATCACACTCTAGAAAATACCCGCTCTACTCTCGTGGCGTCGATAAAAAGAGCTTTGACATCGGCGTCTTCCTCCTCAACAAGGACCTGGAACAGGTTCGTCCTAACCCCCACCGCTGCGAAGCCGGTGTGTCGCTACCGGCTCTCTTCCTCTGCCGGCATGCTCACTGCCTCCTGACCTGCAATGTTTTGTTCTGCAGCTGCTCAACTCGCAGGGGTGGGACGTGCTGACTCTGCGAGCGACCCTGCCCAACCTACAAAACCTCCTTTCCCGCGGCAAAGCCAATCCACGCACCACCTACAACGCCCCACCATCCGTCGGATCCGCCAGTTCTCCCCGCAAGCTTCACCCATCCCCACGGTATGCAGAGCCTCATCTCGCCACAGACGCCCCAAGCTACATTCTGCTGCGGTTGGTTGTGATTAGTTGTGGCTGGTTGTGGCTGGTTGGTGGCGATGCTGACGAGGCGTGGTCACAGGTCGGCCACACCTGGGACACCGAGCGCATCGATGCGAGCGCGCAAGGTCTCGGTCAACGCTCAGTCCAACCCGGCCACCGCGCACAGCAACACGCCCCTCACGCGACCAAGACGGCGGTCCATCTCCAACGGCTGATAGCTTCACACTTCAAGTGGAGGACAAAACAACCCTCAACACTCCCACACTCCCAATTTTGTTAATCCTGCCCATCCTCCAGCCCATCGGCCCCTTCACACCGCGAGCTGAAGTCGTGTTATTAAAGATGCCTGCCTTCTTCCATCTTCACAGACCTTTTTTATTTATGTGTAATAATTTTGTTGGATTATCATTTTTTGATTCGCGGTGAACGAAAAGATGGCGACGAGGCCGAGCAAGGAGGAGATTGCCGCGGCGGTGGAGAAGGTGTTCGAGGAGGCCGTGGCGATGCTCTCGGAGCTGGTGGCCATCGACAGCACCCTCAACCACGAAACCGCCGCGGTGGCCTTCATGGAGGCCCGGTTCAAGGAGGCCGGCCTGGCCACCGACCGCTTCCCCGTCGTGCTCGACGACCTGCGGTCCCTCCCCGGCTTCTCCCCCGTCGACTGGTCCTACGAGGGCAAGGAGTGCGTCGTCGGCGTCCACCGCCCTCGCCTTCCACCCCAAGGTCCCCCCCGCCCCATTTATTTTATTCCACTAATTAATAAATTAATATACATTATTTATATTGATTAATTAATATGAAATATATTTATATTATAAAATGCGCCCACAGGGAAGAGTCTGATCCTGAATGGGCACCTGGACGTGGTGCCGACGGGACCTGCGGACATGTGGACGGGCGGTCCGTTCAAGGTGCGCGTGGCGGACGGCCGGCTCTACGGCCGCGGCTCCGGCGACATGAAGGCCGGCATCATCGCCTACTACATGGCTTTCCGCGTACCTCCCTTTCTTCTTCTTCGTCGTCGTCTTCTTCTTCTTCTTCTTCGACTTGTGGATGACGTTGGTTGGCGGTGGTGGCGGTGTGGGTGTGGGGAGTAGGCGCTGCGCTCTATCGGTTTCGTGCCGGCTGCCGAGGTGATCATGCAGGCCGTCGTGGAGGAGGAAATCACCGGCAATGGTGCCCTCGCCTGCTGCGCCCGGGGCTACAAGGCCGACGCGGCCATCATTCCGGAACCCTTCGCGGGCACCATCCTGACTGCGCAGCTGGGCGTGATGTGGCTGCAGATCTCCGTGCGCGGTCGGCCTGCCCACGTCCTCAACACCAGGTCAGTCTAGTCCACCACCACCACCACCAGTTCTGCCTTCATGAAAGCTTGGGCTCACGCTCGTGCGGCGACACTGGGCCAACGACGACGCGTTGGGCAGCGCGGGTATCAACGGAATCGAGGCGGCGTACTACCTCTACGACGCCCTGCGGAAGGTTGAGGCGAAGTGGAACACCGAGGAGGAGCGCAAGGCCTGCCCGCAGTCCAAGCCCTACGACTCCAACCCGCACCCCATCAACTTCAACCTCGTGTGCCCCCGCCTCCGCCCCCGCCTTCACTTCCTTCGCCTTCGCTCGCTCGCTCTTCTTCTCTGCTCTGCTGGGCTCCTGCGCGCTGACGGAACACACAACAGGGCGTCATCCACGGCGGCGAGTGGGCATCGAGCGTCCCCACGGGTACCCGTCGCGCCTCGTCCCATTCTTTCGCATCGCGAGCTGGGGGTGTCTGACGAGGGCTTTTCGTAATTTTTGGCAGAGTGCAAGTTTGAGGCGCGCGTGGGTCTGTTCCCGGGCAAGAAGCTGGAGGCGGCGCGCAAGGAGGTCGAGGAGGCGGTGGCGGCGGCCGCCCAGGCCAAGGACATCCACTACAACCTCACCTGGACCGGCTTCCAGGCCGAGGGCTGTCTCATGGACCCCAGCGTACGCCTGGCAACAACCCGTATCTCTCGGCAAGGTTGTAGCTGACAGGTGTTGTCTTGTGTCATTTTGTAGGGCGACATGATGCAGAGGCTTGGGCAAGCGCACAAGGCGGTGAGCGGGAAGGAGCCCGTGTACAGCCCCGTGACGTGCACCACAGACGTTCGCTTCTTCGAGCTCTACTACGGCATTCCCGCCACCTGCTACGGACCCGAGGCCACCAACATTCACGGGTACCACCCACTCCCCAACCCGCCGAGGAGCAACAGTGCGGCTTCCGCTCACTCGCGGTGATGGCTCTCTTCCCTCCGCTCTAGTATCGATGAGTCGGTGAGCTTGGACAGCGTGAAGGAGGTCATGAAGACCCTGGCCGTGTTCATGGCCGATTGGTGTGGTCTCGAGCCGATTGCCGATAACTGAGTTCGTTGCTCTCCCACAAAAACATGGTTGCCACTGGTTTCCCTGGCTTTTGGTTGGCGTCTGTCGTAAATTTCAGACTGCCATAAAGTTCTGATGAACTCGCTCTGATCACTCTGTCGAGCCCACGGAATGGGAGTGGCGTAGGTTGAGGAGGCGGCACAGACAGGGCCACGCTGATCATTATTATGGGTGTGGGCGACAGGGGGTGGCATGCAGTGCCGTGGAGACGAGGCGGGCTTCTCCCCGCTTCCATCTGCCGAATGTCGGTGGCTTTGAGACCACGCCGCCACAGCCCCCATAAAAACCTGATTTGTTGGCTTTGCTTTCTGAACCAAAACAACATCACACCAAACCACGCTTGAACACCAACACCCACCAACAAACCATGGCCTCCAAGAACTGCCTCGACCTCATCATCAAGGACCACGAGAAGCTCAAGAGCCTTCACAGGTTCGTTACCCATGTCGTTGCTCTCCACCCGCCCTGCCTTGACTAATTTTCTCTGGTAACGTGCAGCCAGTACATGAGCACCAGCGACACCGACAAGAAGCAGGAGCTGGCCAACACCCTGATCAAGGAGCTGTGCATTCATTCGTCCCTCGAGGAGACGCTCGTCTACCCGGTGCTGCGCGATCGCGTGCCGGAGGGCAAGAACCTGGCCCACGACGCCTACGAGGATCACTTCGCGGTGGAGCGGCTGCTCGATGAGATGCTCAGCATGAAGGTGAAAGACGACGAGGCCAAGTTCGACTCCAAGATGAACACCATGATCGAGAACCTCTTCGCCCACATCCAGCACGAGGAGGGCAAGCTGCTGCCCCTCCTGCGGCAGTACATCTACCCCAACGAGCTGGTCGAGCTGGGCGGCAAGATGGAGAGCAACCGACCCCTCATGCCCACGCACCCGCACCCCAACATGCCCAAGGAGGGCGTGAAGGGCATGGTCGCCGGCCTCGCCGCAGCGCCCCTCGACCGCGCCTACGACGCCGCCCGCTCCGCCGTCTCCGGCCAGTGAGATAACAGAACGCCAACCAACCACCCAACCAGCACCACTCCAAACATCCACCCAACCGCGACGCAGTAAACAGTTATACTTTGCGCATCCACGTCGTATGTACATTGTATAGCGCCGAGGGGGTGGGGCCTACTGGGGCGACCAGGCGGCGAAGACGCAGCCCTGGGCGACAAGCCGCGGCGGAGTGTTGGGGTCGATGTCCTGCACCCAGACCGCGTCGACTCCCGGAGCCAGCGGAGAACTACCACAGTACACGAACCTGGAGGCGCACCCACGAAGGTGAGGCAACGCGACCGCAGCTGGGAGGCACAGGATGGGTGGGTCTAGGGTACGCATCGCTGTCCGGGCTGAACAGGGTCAGCACCTGGGCGTATTGGTCGAAGAAGGAGACGTAGTTGCGTAGAAAATGCTCAGACGCCGCAAACTTGCCGTTGGGGAAGCTCAACGTGCTTCCCGCGGCGCTGTCCCAACAGCACCACCTGGCGGAAAGCACCGTGGCAATCAGCACAACATCACGCACACGCACACTTCGAAGTGGAGGAGAGAGAGAGAGACAACGCCGCACTGAAGATTGTAGCCAAACGATGAGTAGTCCAGCACCAGGTACAGGAGATAGCGTCCGTTGGGACTCCAGAAGTAGGCCAGCAACCGCACTGTGTCGGCGAACTCGGCTATCCTGTCCTTAGTCGCGGCCATCACCCGCTCTTCCTCATGCCTTTTGGATAACCCGTGGTGAGACACACGCAGGAAAGGCACCTCGAAGTTTCGGTGCGGGGGGGGCGTACTCTCCGTGAGGGCCGCCGAGTGGTGGATCGGGTGCACAGGACGGTCGCTTGACGGCGCTGACGTAGAGCGACCCGCTGTTGTCGAGAGCGTAGGCCACCTTCTGCCGGTCTCTGCTGAGGATGAAGGACGAGAGGGTGTCCTCCCGGAAACTGGCCACACGGCAGAGCTCGTTCATTTCGTGCTGCAGCGGCTCGCTCTGGATGCGGCCAAGGCTGCGATTCTGCGCATCCGGCCCGATCTCCAGGTCAGCTCGATACGGCCAGAGGCGGCAGTGGAAGAAGAGTGGAGAGTGCACCGCACCTGGCAGAGGGTGGAGAGAGTGGCCACCACGAGTTTCTGTCCCTTTCGCTGGCAGGTGGTGTCTCGTACGGCGTACATGAAGGTGTCCTCGCCGCTCTCTTGCGCCGTCCCCACCCAAGCCGGCGTGGCAAAGCTGCCCAGCTTGCCCTCCACGGGCAGTTGGACGATCGACCTGAGGTCGCCCGTGCTTGGGTCGATCTCGACGCGCTCGAGCTGACGCATGTTCTTCTTCGCCAGAAGGCTCAGCTTGTCGGGCGCCCACGTAAAATAGTACGGCCTGGTACAGGTTCGCGCATTCATCAGAGGCCGAAGAAAAAGCGAAGAAGAACGAAGACGATAAATGGCGGGAGAGGCGCGGTCACCTGCCGGTGCTGATGGTGCGAGCGGATTGTTCGTTGCCGAGCAGGTCGAACACGAGCAGCTGGATGGTGTTCATAATGGGGTCATTGGCCAGCAAGGCCACTCGAGTGCCGCAGGGCGCAAAGTACGCAAAGAACGGCATAAAATCGACTGTGTATGTGTGTCGAGTGTGTGTGTGTGTGTGTGACACGCAAAAGGTGTTTCTTAGGACTGAAGGCCACCACACAGCTGAATGACAAAAGAAGGGATGCGCACCGTCCCAGGATTTGACCGGCTTCCTGCCAGAGGTATCAGCAACGCACACCCGCCCGCGAGGGAATCGCCTGCCGTTAATCTCGACCCACAGCACCTTGTCGCCTGATTGAGCGCGTTAGCATGAGCACCAAGTCAGTTGCATTGTGTGTGTGTGTGTGTGTGTGTGCGCGTGCGTGCGTGAGGTGCGGTGCGGTGCGTGTGTGTCGTGACCACTCACCGTGCGGGGAGAACATGGGACTGCGGGAGCCACCAGCCGCCGAGGACAGTTCGTGCTTGTCGGAGCCATCGGGAGCGATGATGAACACCTTCGTGGAAGAGAGCGTCAGCCGTCAACTCGCGCCTATACGTGCTTCAGTCTAGAGGGGGAAGTGTGCTCTGTACTTTGTTCGTCATGGCTTCGACCAGGAGAAGACGATCTACTCTCCGCCGCCCGATGGCATCAAGCTTCATGTACACCTTTTGCCAGGCGAGCGGGCAGAGCCTGTCACCTTCAGCCAACGCGTTCCAGTCCTCACCAGCACCGCCACCGACAGGCAGCTCTCCGATGTCTGCCGCCAACACCAGCCGGCTGTCGGTCCACAACCCGGCACTCCAGCGGCGAAGACACGCAGACCGCCAGAGGCCACCGCTGCCCTCGCCTCCTCTCAACAACGCCCGCCAACGTCGGCACACCTGGTTCAGGACAGGGTTGGTGAAGGCTGAGGCAGCCACAGTGCTGCGGGTGCTCCACGAGAAGGGGGTGGAAGGAAGCTGGGGCAGGCACACTTACTGCGCTGAGGGGGAGAAGGTCGGTGGGGTGGAGCAACTCGAAGAACATGTAGGCCAGCAGCTCGTTGGGAAGTCTCTCCAAATCGGAGGACGCGTCTTTCCGCACATCTTCATCTTCCGCCATCTCCATCTTTTAAGGTGGTCGCGGCCAAAGAATTAAAAAAATAGTTCTGGGAAATTCGTTTCCCGCCGGCCAGCAACAAAAGCCGAAAAATAATAATTATTATGGTTCATTTCATTCTTTTGCCACCGTCACCCCCCTTGGTGCGCAAGGAAGGAACAAGGCACGCCGTGTTTGTTCTTCATTCTTCACTGGCGCCTCGAACTGCGGTTCTGCCCCACGTGAGCGGTTCTCTCAAGTTCGAACTGTGACACATCAGTGCCGAGTACATCGGCAAGAGAAGAAGAAACAGAAATGTTTGGATCAGGTTTTGGAAATGGAGGCCGAGGAGGCGGTGCATTTGGAGGGCCACCACAACAGCCGCAGCAACCGCCCAGCAACTCCTCAATGTTCGGTGGCGGCCGCGGCACCTTTGGGGCGGCAGCACCATCGTCGCCATCATCATCGTCATCATCACCTTCTCCACCGTTTGGCGGAGGCAGCTTCGGCTTCGGGAGCAGCACGGCCCCTCCTTCTGGGCGAGGCGGCTTCGGCTTCGGGAGCAGCACCACCAGCGCCCCAACCAGAGGAGGCTTCGGCTTCGGCAGCAGCAGCAGCTCTCCTTCGCCGTTCCCCCCCTCGCGAGGCGGCTTCGGCTTCGGCACCACCACGCCCGGTGCCCCGCCCTCGAGAGGCGGCTTCGGCTTCGGGGGCAGCAGCACCAGCACGACCGGCGCCCCGCCAACGCGAGGCGGCTTTGGCTTCGGAAGCAGCGCGCCGTCGAGGGGCGGCTTCAGCTTCGCGGGCAGCAACGCGCCGTCGAGGGGCGGCTTTGGCTTCGGGGGAAGCAACGCTGGCGTTGTTGTTGCTCCCGCCTCGTCTGCCCCCGCGATGCCCTCAACGACGGGTACTACTGCGAGTGGTGGTGGTGGTGGTAACGCGTCGGCCGTGCAGCCGCCCACGTCGGCGCAGGGTCTGCTGGACGCGGCCGAGGCGGTGGTGGCGTCGGCAGCACGGAGCCGCGAGACGGACGACGGCAAGGTGCGCGAGCGGCTGGCCAACGTGGTGGAAGCACTACGATGGATCGAGCAGGCGCCGCGCGCCGTCGGCTGGGGCTTCGGCATGGTCGACAGGGGCACGCGCCTGCGCACCCGCTTGGAGCGGGTCGAGGACGACCTCTGGCTGCGCGTGAGCGAGCGCGGCCTCCACATCATGGCCGTGCAGACCCGCAACCCGACGGCCGTCAACTCGGCCGGCGCGCTCGTCCAGGGCGGCCCCTCCCAGCAGGGCCTCGGCTCCTCGGGCCTGGCCGACCTGCTCGACCTTCACCCGTTCAATTCCCAGTCTGCCGCCGCCGCCAATTCTGGGTCCTCCTTGTCGCCCTCGTCGTCTTCGTTCTCAACGCCTATGTCGTCCGGCTTTGGCGCTACCGCGGTGGCGGCCTCGCCTCTGGTGGCGACCACGACGCCCAGCGTGGAGGAGGAGAAGGCCAGCCAGGCGGCGCTCAAGGAACGGCGGAAGCAGGAGGGCCTGTTCGAGCCGACCGCGGAGGACGTGGCCAAGCTCGTGAACGCCGCTATGCAGGCCCTGGGCGGCATGACCGCCAAGTCGACGCCCTTCGACCAGCTGGTCCAGCGTCGCCTCCGCGTGCTTCTGCGAGCCAACGCCGCGCTCTCCTCTCAGCGCCGCATGTGCCGCGAGGTACGTACCTCGACGCGTCCAACTACACTCACCTCATCACGCCCCATGTTTACTCAATCGCTGTTGTGTGTTCCCCATTTGTACTGTGCTGCTGCTGCTGCAGGCCGACGCCAAATGGAAGAAGGCTATCAAGGCACGCGAATCCGAGGCCAAGGAACCGCCGACGGTCAAGCCGATCAACTCGCCCTCGGCCGTGCCATTCATGCTGACCGTGTGCACGCGCACGTTCAACCTGCTCATCCGGTCCCTCCTCGACACCTCCAACGTCGACCTCACGCTCTCGAACATTCTCGGCCTGCTGAGGGACGAGGCCAAGCGCGAGGAGCTGAGCCCGCGCAACAAGCGCTGGCTCGCCGATTTCGAGGCCTCGTGGGGCGGACTCGAAACGCTCGCCACGCAGGCCAACGCGCACGATTCCAAGTTCGCCGTTGCCGCCGCCGCTCTAGGACAGCTCTCCGGCTTGATGGTACGCGCGCGTGTGGCCCACCCACCACCATCTCTCTTGATGTCCTCGTCACTTATCGCGAACGCTCGGCCTTACCTACTCCCCTGCTGGCAGTTGTCGTACCAGGTGGCCGCCAATTCGCTGCAGGGCGAGACGTCGGTGGTGGACGCCGACTTCATCGTGCTGCTGGCCAACCACGTCTTCCTGCCCCTCATCCGCGTGCTGAAGGGCGATGCCTGCCTTCAAGTGCTCGCCCTGCTCGCCAAGCGCTACCGCGACGACGTCGGACCGCTCGCGACCGAGCCCAAGCCCTGGGTGCAGCCTCTCGAGTCCTGGCTCTGGGAGCTGGCTGCCATTCGCCCCGAGACCGGTGACGATCTTGCCCTTAAGACCCGAAATCAGGTACTCTCTCGCCCCTCGCGTTTGCCAATTGGCAGCACCACGTCGTGCCGCTCACCCTGGGATGTTCCCCCTTCTCTTCGTTGGCCAGGCTGCGACGGTGCTCGCTTGTCACGTTCTGGCGCGCGACTCGCTGGAGGACATCGTGTCGCTTGTTCGCCTGTTTGTGCTGCCGTCCGCGGTGACCTCCAGCGACCAGAAGGCGCTGACACCAGCAGCGGAGACCATAGATCTGGACATTGTGCCCTTCCTTCAGTCCTGGTCGGACATGAGGACCAACGATCGCCGCGTTGGTACCCTTTCCCGCCTTTCCTCTTCACTCACCTCGTCCCGGAGCCATTCCCCCCCCCCTCTTCCCCCACACTCACTGTGTTACTGTGGATTGTGATGTGTCGCGCAGCGATGGCCTGGAGCGCCTTCGAGTCGGCCACGTTCCGACGCAACTCGACGTTCGTACAAAAGGACGGTTACGTGTACATACACGGCAGGCACGGCCTGCTCAAGATCGGCACCGGACATCACGGTACCATCGTGAACCATATTTATGTCAGCAACCCCTCGTACCGCACGCGGGAGAAGGGTTGGCTCGCCATCTACGGCAACAAGCTGTTCTACCGGTCTTCACGCATCGGCTCGGCTTCGTTCGTCATCATCGACGCAGAGACACTGCAGGTACACCAATTTTTTTTTAATTTTATGTTAAGATTAGAGGCGTCATCTGCAGAGGTGGAGAGATTATTTGGTAACCCCCGTACGCCCATCGCTTGGTACCAGGAACTCGCCGAGGTCCGCTCCCCCAAGAGCTCGACCGCGCAGCTTTTGCAGATCGAGCCAGCTGCTGCGACAGCGGATGCCAGTTGCACGCCGGATAACAAAGAGAATGAATCGGCGGCCCCGAGCAGCTCACAAGAACAAGCCCCCGAGGTAAAGGCAGCCCCGGGCGACCAGAGTGTGCCGCCGCAGGACACCGACACAAAGACGGCAGGCAAGCGGGACAGGGAGCAACGCGCGGTGATCGAGATGGACGACCCCGAAGGCCTGTTCCCCAAAGAGAAGCAGGTCCTGACGGACGGCACCTCCTACCGCTCGCCCATCTTCTCCGACGGCCGGTACCTCTACCTTCTGACCAAGCTCCCGGCGCCGCCCAAGCAAGAGGAGGAGGGCGCGGCCAAATCCGCGACCGAGACCGAGGGCGAGCAATGCGTCGACGAAGTCCTCGAGAGAGAGTCCGTCACACCAGTGCAGCCGCCTCAGGCCATCGCCACTCTGGAACCTCAGGCGACGACCGCAGGGTTCAGCTTTGGTAGCCCAAGCCCAGCGGCAGCATCAGCAGAACTTACGACGACGGTCGCAACATCGCCCGCTGCAGTTTCCGAGGAGCCCCAGCAGTCACCCGCCGACGAGGCTGCACCGCCCCGTACCGAGCCCGAAGAGGTGGAGGAAGCCGCCGCTCCGGCGAGGCCCGTGGTGGTAGACCACCGTATCTACATGGGCGACATTCCGCGCAATTACGACGAAGAGCGAGTGCGCGAGCTGCTCGTGCCTTTTGGCGACGTTCGTTCCCTGATCCTGCCCCGCGAGGATGGTACCTCCACCCCCAATTCATTGCCGTGGATCAATGTATCGTAGGGAAAGCCAACCGTGTGTGTCCTCTGTGGCTCTCTACCTTTAGGCGGTCTGGCTGGCTATGCAGTGGCCGAGTACCGGAACCCCGAGGTTGTCGACAACGTGTGCTCGGCGCTGCACGGTTTCCCGCTTGAGGACAGGACGCTCATCGTCATGCGTCTCTCTGACCGTCCGCCCGGAGCGCCCGCAGCCCTTCTTGCGAGTCTCGACGCCGCGCCGGAAGCGACTCCGTTTGGGGCGGCAGCCAGCTCCCGTCCTGCCTTCGGAGGTCCGTCAATGAATCCGTTCGGCGCGGCCAGACCGGCGTTTGCCTCAGCCAGCGGCGGCTTTGGCTTTGGCAGTAGGGGCCCCGGGCCTCTGGTCGCCCCGGCCTCGCTGCTGTCCGGAGGTTCCGGCGGCTTTGGCTCTTTGGCATCGGGAGCTACACCGCCTTCGACGGCTTCGGATTCCTCTCCAAGCCCTGCTGCTGCTGGCGAGGAGCCCGTGCTCGGCACTGGCGAGTGGTCATGCGGGGCGTGCACTTTTCTCAACGCCGCCACGTCGCCGGCCTGCAACATGTGCCGCACCGCTCGGCCGGCGCAGTCTGCCGCTGTGCCAGGTTAACCTCCTTTGCTCTTTGTTCGTTCCCTACTCGAGACCGCTGCGCAGCTGGCTAACGGCGTGTGTGTGGTTAATTGTACAGCTGCAGGTACAGCTTCCTCGGAGGCGTCAAGCACCAGCACAGCTCCGCGACCGGCAAACACTCTCGAGAAAGCGCGGAGGGAGGCCGAGGACAAGTTTATCGTGCACGTGTTCGACCCCAGCCAGGAGGGCTTCCCTCACATCCGCTCCATCCCGCTGAAGACCCCCGCAAGTACTC